CTGTCTTGGGGCATGTGCAGATCGCCACACGCTGACCTCCAGGAGTAAAGGTGTCAACCCATACATCCTGAAGGACGGCGTTGCTCACCAGGTTCGTCGAGAACGAGGGGAGGTGCAGACCGGACAGAGAGCCAGAGGGGACAGCTGGGCACGGGAGGACAGTGGAGTGGCGTGCAACCACCGGGCCCCCAGAGGGGTCCGCCAGTGAGACTGGGACTGGGGTGGTGAGTGGGGTGACAGTGGTGCTGTCGTGAAAGAAGCAACGTGACGCACCAGAGTCAAGTGTGAAAGTGTGCAAGACCTCAGCAGTAGCAGCAGACTCACTAGCACCTGGGGCAGTAGCGACACTAGCACCTAGGGCAGCAGCAGACGCACTAGCATCTGGGGGAGCAGCATCACCACTAGCATCGCATGGCACACACGAGTAACACGCACCCTCAACACTATAATCAGAAACATACATAGCATAGAGAGCAGCATTGATCTTAGCAAAGTCAAGAGCAAACACATCTACCCCCTTCCCTATCAGCTGCAGCCAGTTCGGGACCTGCTGGTCCTCGGAGTACTCAGTCACCCAGGCGTCCTCAAGACGGCCGAAGCACTTGTACTCAGTGTGCGGCTTCCCGCAGACTGTGCCCTTCAGAAGCCCCGTGCGCCGGACATAAGGGCAGCGACCAGAGCCCCCACGCTGGAGAACCCACTCACGGAGCTGCTGGTTGGTGGGGTTGTCCGGGAGGCGCGGCAGCTGCTGACCACTCCCGTAGCCACGGGAGGGTCCACAAGCGCCACCACCCTTGCCAGACCCACCCCGACCTCCTCCACCGCCCCCGCTACCCCAACCGCCTCCCCCACCACCGCCGCCTCCTCCACCCTGTCCGCCTCCTCCACTGCCGCCACCCCCAGAGCCACCCCCAGAGCCTCCACCACCCCCGCCACCACCCCCGCCACCCCCTCCGCTGCTGCCACCACCACCACCCCTCCCCGCTCTGCCCTTGCTGTTGTTGCGCCGTCCACTGGGAGCAGACGCAGCGCCAACGTCCTCAGCACCAAGGAGGTCGACTGCAGCAGCGGTAGCAACTGAGGGGAGGAGAGGGGAGGGAGTACACCCTTCAAAGAAGGGGGAGCGGGGGGTGCCACGAGAGGCAGCGACAGCGACAGTGCTCTTCTCAACCTCGAGAAGGGCCTTCTCAAGCGAGTCAAGTGTGAGCTCAGTGGGGTCCATGGCTAGGAACTGGTCCCTGACAGTGCGAAGGGAGTCAGGGAGGCGAGTGATAAGAAAGTGGTGTCAGAATGTTATAATTGTCTAGCCTGCAGTGGGGTACTCTATAGCGAGTACAACCCAATTAGGGTTTCCTATATGTATGCCAACTGCTGCTAGTGCAACCCCTCTTCTTCATTCCTCATTTCTTCACAAGTAGAGGGTGAAGTATTGCGGGGGGGGGTTCTTAGCGAGAAAGTCTGGCTTGAGAGCGGCACGGAAGCGATCCTCACTAAAGCGGAGGTGGGTAAAGAGGTCAGAGACAGTGCGGAACTCAGCTAGATCGGGATGCAGGTACGGCAGCATGAGACGACCTACAGCAGCAGTAGCTGGGGAGGAGTAGCGAGAAACTACAGCGTCATAGAGATCCTTGGCCGTTTTCTGCCGGCTAAAGTGCGCGCGCTCAGTGACTGGCAGGTGGTTGCGGACAGCAAGGCGGGCAGCGGCATCACGCATGAGCCACTTAGACAGATCCTCTACAGCGTCGGCAGCAGGGGGTGGGAGCTTTCCCTCAGTGTGCAAAAACAGGGAAACACCATCCTTAGATTCGCTCTGCAGGAACAGCTGGAGATCGTCGAGCCAGACATCAAAGGTAATCGCGCGGCCCTCAGCATCGAACGTAAGAACTGACAGGTTAGCCATAGCAGCAGTAGCACTAGCTGTAGCAGCAGTAGTTGCAGCAGCAGCAGCAGTGACAGGGCGGCGCGGCTCGGACTCAGTGGCGGAGCAACAGCGGCAAGCAGCAGCAGCAGCCGGCGCTCAGTAGCAGCAGCAGCAGCAAGGAGGAGCAGCTGCAGCAAGTAGCAGCAGCAGCAGCAAGGAGGAGCAGCTGCAGCAAGTAGCAGCAGCAGCAGCAAAGAGGAGCAGCTGCAGCAAGTAGCAGCAGCAGCAGCAAGGAGGAGCAGCTGCAGCAAGTAGCACGGGCTGTAGCAGCAGGAGCTTTAGCAGCAGCAGCAGTAGCACTAGCTGTAGCGGCAATAGCTTCAGTCAGTAGCAGCTGTAGCAAGTGCCGTAGTAGCAGCAGCAGCAGTAGCACTAGCTGTAGCAGCACTAGCTTTAGTAGCAGCAGCAGTGAGTAGCACTAGCTGTAGCAGCAGTAGCGTCAGTAGCAGCAGCAGTGACAGCTCAAGCAGCAGCAGCAAGGAGGAGCAGCTGCAGCAAGTAGCACGGGCTGTAGCAGCAGGAGCTTCAGTAGCAGCATCAGTAGCACTAGCTGTAGCAGCAGTAGCTTCAGTCAGTAGCAGCTGTGACAGCTCGGGCTGGGCGGCGCGTAGTAGCGGAAGGCGCGCGTGGGCTGTGGGCGTGCAAACCAGGGGCGCGCAACAGGTGCGTGCGGGGCAGCACTACGAGGAGCGCGTAGCAGGTGCGTGCTAGGGGCTGGCGGGCAGCGTGAGTGGCGCGCGCAGCAGCAGGAACGAGGGGGGACCGGGCGTAGGGGCTGACGGGCCGCGCGAGAGGCGCACGGGGCAGCTAGAGCGCGGTCAGGGGGGTCGCACGTGACTAGGAAGAAAAATCGCGACTATGGCAGAAAAAGGAACCGTCTCGCCTAGGACACGATTTCGCATTTCGCGTTTCTCCTAGGGGCGCGACTCGGGCAGCAGATCGAAATAGTAGTGGTGGGCCCTTTTAGAAATTCGGTCCTAAGGAGCATTGTGCTCTTAATACCATGTTAAAATTACTAGCTAGGTGAGGAATGTCGATTAGGTAAGGGGTAGGGATACAAGACTATCGAGAGTGAAGTGTTGTACCCTCTAAGGAAAGAACCCTACACAACCTAGAGTGAAATAAACATAACACTATGTTTTGACACCGGAAACGCGAGGGTAACCTACGAAAGTGGCTCTGATACTAAGTGTATGCAATATCGTGGAAGCAATTATGATTACTAACGAAATATGGAGACCTAGCATTGATATAGCGAAGGCTAGCTAGGCCAAGGCCGCGGGACCACGCATAGTCGGATGCATATTCAGGGTTTGGAAAACCCGAAGGTGACGCGAGGAACGTTCGGAAGGTAAGGTTGTCGGACCGAGCATCGAACTCCGAAAGTTGGAGTTGTACGCGTATGGAATGCCTTAGTAAGGAATTAGGCAAAATTCCTTACACGCGGTGTGTAAAAAACATTGAAATCAATGTTCCTGAGTATATGAATTTGGTATGACACTTCTATGCTTGTACGGGGACGCTAGTTGCGAGTTCCATGTTTTTTGTGGGGATAGTTCGGCACGAAAGGGCGAAGGTGGACGACCAGCGCTCATTTGTCGTCAGAGCTTTTGCACGAATTCGCTTGACGAGTTACATGGTTGTTGTTCGTGGCATGGAGAACTTCAGTGGTATGATGGGAGTTCTGGTGCACAGGTTCGAAGCCACATCGTGATCAATTTGACATGTAGGCCCTGTTCGATAGCACTTTGGGGCCCCCACGATGCAACCATTTGGTTTGGCTCTGTCGCCCAAATGGTTCAGCGTCGCGACAAAATGCAAGTGGTGGGACAGCGCCGGCAGTGTAATCATTTTGGCCGACCCGAAGACGGCCGAGGTGGTCGAAAAGCTCCACCTCAACGGCCCTTTGAAGCGGACTGTTTCCAGCCGCGGGGTCTGCCCGGGGGTTCGACGGTCTACGTAAAAACAAAAGCCTCACCCAAATGTTTGTGCTGAAAATGTATAGAGTATTCCAGATCGGTTCCAGCATTAGTTGGGTGTGTCGAAAGGATTTGTGGTGCAACTGGTTTATACCTTTTGTTTGGCGCGACTATCCCTAAATAGCCCATTGGTCTGGCATTGGGGCCACTTATTTGAAAAGTAACATTGGCAATGGTCTGGTAATGGTCTGAAATTCTACCAGGGATGGGCTGTAATGATTAGGCGACAGTCACTGTTACTGCGCGCTGTGGTGTCAAACCACCCCGTCAAAATTCCCGCCATGTTTTAGCAGCTGGGCGGGAAACCAAGGACATCGCAGGGGGGTCGTTCGCGCTGGCGGGAATTATGAGTCGTCGCAGGGGGTCGCAAACCGTTTCCCGCCCAACCAACGAGGTCACCTCAAAGCGTTTCTGGCGGGGTTCCCTCGCTGTCGAACAGGGCCGTACTTGCTGACAGCATCACTCTCAAGGGCGAATCAAAAGTCATTCCCATCCCAACACGGGCCCATCGTGATGGTACTTCCATCGTCACTGGCACCAAGAGCTTGCGCCTCGCGCCAGCGACGAGGATCATGGGCAGGGGGAAGGAAAGAGAGGGGAAGGGCAGCAAGATACACTCACGCACGCTCACCACGACGCTTTGCGGAGCAGCGGGAGTCCTCTGCCCCGTTTGTGTTCTGTCCCCCGAACTCCCTCCCCCTGAATCCAACTCTCCCCGCAAACGCACAGCATATGAGCCCAGCCAATTCACAAAAAAAAACAGTACACAGCAGAACATCGATTCGCCCCACACTTGCCTTTCTAACTCATCCCAAATAGCTTGCTTCCCAATGGCTGCCTCACGTTTCTTCCTCCTAACATTGGCCCTGGCAGCTGTCGTAAGCGTCAATGCCGGGCGTGTTCCATCGCCGTCCCGGCTGGCATTGCCGACAGATAAGCCCCATGTAGCCGCGGTGCAGGGTTACTCCCCAGAGTACCTCAAGTTTCTCATCCGAAGCGCCACTTCTCAGGCCATCACTGCGCTGAGCGCTGGTAACCTGCTCTTCGCGTCGCGCATTTTCGCGACCTTCGTCACGCTTTATCCGTCTCACGCCGAACCGATGTCGCTGTATAGCCCAATGGAAAAGCAGCAAGCTCTCAAGGTGCTGGTGGATAAGAACCTCACCATCACGCACACCATCATCGGCATCTCCATTGCCAAGGACTCCACCGTCGGTCCCGCTTCCGGGAATGGCGTGGCATCGGGGCCGTCCAATGATCTCAAGGAGATCTACTGCGAGGGGTCGTACACGCTGATCGACCGTGCGACACAGACGATCAAGGCCAAGGGGAACTATATTGCCACGTGGACGCCATCGTCGCCGTTCGTTGGCGATATGAAAAACGACATTGATTACGTTGGTCTGAGCCGGCTTATGTGGACCAAGTATTAACGGCGTGAGTTGGCGAGACTACCAGGAGAAGAATCAGATCTGCTCACACAGAGATGAGATACAGCTGGGTGTGCCAGGTGATTGCGGATGTTGCACGGTGTATGCTTCCAGTGCAACATCACTGCTTAAGCTGGCTGCCGTTTCCAGTGCGATGCTGATACATGTGCCTTTTCTAGCTGTTTCGTAGATAACATGGCAGCTATCGACCATCTTACTCGTTCTGATCCACAATTTAGGGCAGTCGGACATGCTTTTCCTAACATTCTACATTACTATGTATGACAGACTGAAATTTCAACATTACTGGACAGCAGTCATCTGTGCTCATCGTGCAATCAACCAATCAACCGTTGGTGTGGTAGCTCCCTCTGCTGTTCGTTCCAGGAACACTAGTTAGTTGCTGTTGTTGGCAGGCTCAGCAAGCTGCAGCTCCAGACAGCATTGCACATTTGATAAAACGGTGGGATGGAAGAGAGCAAGGAAAAACGCCAAGGCCCTGAGACCCGCATGTGTGACACCTGTTTGCTACAAATCTGGGTAGCTGCCTGGATTTTTTGTAAAATGTTTTGTGAAACTTGCAATAGAAGAGGAGCAACACCAGCACCAGTATCTTCAACTGATGAAACAACTCCTACTGCAGAGAAGCAGCGCAGGAAGAAGGCCAAGGCGAAGGTCTTGAGCAGTGAGGATGATGATGACGATGATGTAGATGTGTGCCACCTTTACCATAGATAGTGATTAGCTGGGCTATATAGGTGGATTTAATGCATGTACTGTATGAAAACTATAGAATACTGGACTTAAAGCACAGCAGCTTCAACATAAACACAGATCAGAGACTTCATAAGACAAAGAAGTTTTCACATATCTGATTCATAAGACATGAATGTTTCAAAGATCTGATTCATAAGACATCCAAACTTGCCAACATCTGATGTATCAGACGGACGCACCAAGGGGGTTCAAATCCTAGCGAGGACCCTGTCTATAACGCATCAGTTCCAATCGTGAGAGACCGTGGGTCCAATAAATATCGGAACGACCAGTCATATGAAGCCACTTCCACGCACTGTTCAATGGTTGGGTTCCGCTTCTGAGCCATCCGCTTGGCAATGGCAACACGTGGGGCGGGTGGCAACTGGTTCAGGGCCCACTCTAGCAGAGCAGGCAATGAATCCGTGAAATCAGGGCAATACCTGAATGGGGGGTCGGATCGGGACAAGGAAACCCAGCAAGAAATGTGTGAGGGTAGAATAAGAACCGTATTCTCCCGGACAAAACACCCGGGGGTATTATGATACCCACAGGAAAAAAAGGGGGAGGGTCCTCTCAACGGAAAATGCTATATAATACCCGGGTGGTTATATATGGCACATTTTAGTGTAAGAAAATTTTATAATTAGACAGCTTGGGTGTTTCAATAGTCGTTTTAACATCACACGTTGAGGCGAGAATTTGAGTTTTGGCGAGAACGTGAGTTTCACCTCTCGGGCCACTTGCAGCAAAAGAATTGCCAGCGTGGTGACAGCGAGATTGTGGGAGGGAGGGAATCTCGGTAGATTCGAAGTGAAATTGCACGCGAAATTTCGTTCAGGAAGTGATTCTCGCGATATCCTCCCGTAAAAAATCTGACTCGATAACAGCTATAATAGGGATTCGTAAGAAAAGGGGGGTGTTATAGAGAATCACCCCAAAAGGGGGGGTATAGTACAAACGAGGTCGGCTATAGCACCCCCCCCGCACAAGCTACCCGGGGGTGTACTATTACGGGGGGGTGTTTTGTCCGGGAGAATACGGAATGTGAGGTTGAAGCTTTGAATGTGGATCATGAAATACCCATTTGGTCTAAATACTGGAAAGACCATTGGGAATGATAGCAGCACCCACCAGTCAAGAATCTTGGGAAGAATGATTCGGTCATCACGGCTCATGCCTATGGCAACTTCCAGGAAGTTATCCTTGGCCTCCTCTAGCTCCGCATGCACAGTGCGAGCCGAGTACACCCGTAGCTGGGAGGGACAAGGGAGGGGCAAGGGATGCATGCACGTGGATGTGACAGGTAGAGGTCGCAGGGTCAGTGCAAGAGCCATGCAGCACAGTCAGCAGCAAGGGCAGGTCTGGAAACAGGAGCAGGTCTGGAAACAGGAGCAGGTCTGGAAACAGGAGCAGGTCTGGAAACAGGAGCAGGTCTGGAAACAGGAGCAGGTCTGGAAAGAGGAGCAGGTCTGGAAAGAGGAGCAGGTCTGGAAAGAGGAGCAGGTCTGGAAAGAGGAGCAGGTCTGGAAAGAGGAGCAGGTCTGGAAAGAGGAGCAGGTCTGGAAAGAGGAGCAGGTCTGGAAAGAGGAGCAGGTCTGGAAAGAGGAGCAGGTCTGGAAAGAGGAGCAGGTCTGGAAAGAGGAGCAGGTCTGGAAAGAGGAGCAGGTCTGGAAAGAGCAGGTCTGGAAAGAGGAGCAGGTCTGGAAAGAGGAGCAGGTCTGGAAAGAGGAGCAGGTCTGGAAAGAGGAGCAGGTCTGGAAAGAGGAGCAGGTCTGGAAAGAGGAGCAGGTCTGGAAAGAGGAGCAGGTCTGGAAAGAGGAGCAGGTCTGGAAAGAGGAGCAGGTCTGGAAAGAGGAGCAGGTCTGGAAAGAGAAACAAGTGCTCTGGGCTGGGAGGGGATGGAGCGGAGAGGAGCTCACGGCAGGTGCGCAGAAGCTTCCAGGGCAGAGAGCGAAGGATACATTGGGTTCCCCCACTGTGAGCGCCCACCCCACCCTGGGGTCGTCATACGCGAAGGGGCGGCTCTTCAGGGCCTTGGCCTGCGACAGGAGAGCGGTGGACACGAGAGCGAGACATGGGTGTGGTTGAGGGTGGAGAGAAGGAGAGGCGTGGGTGTGGTTGAGGGTGGTTTGGAACCCCATGGAAGCGGCCATGCCCGTCCAGCACTAGATTCGCTCTGGGCGCAGCAGCGGGCCTTGGGGGCCCTGGCTTGGCTGCCAGTGCAGAGGAAAGCGAGGGCAGGGTGCTTTACTAACTGTTTCCATACCAGAAAGGTATGGGCGTAGGGGGGTAGTTGGGGGAGGATGAGGGGGGGTTTCGGAAGAAAAAACGGGAATAGGAGCCTGATATACTCATGGGTAGTTGGGGTGCTTTACTAACTGTTTGAGTCAACTCTTGATTTGAGTCTACTCAAACAGGGGCGTGTTTTGAGTTGACTCAAAGCAGAAGGGGGGTTCGGGGAAAAAATAAGAAAGTGAGCCGGAGATACTCTCTTGAAAACTACGGCTGAACGGAGAGAGGGTATCACAATATGCAACAAGGTGCGCGAACAAAGATCATCGTACACAGTGAGGGGAGCGGCGTGTAGCAGTCGTGAAAAGGGGGAGAAGGAGCGGTGTGTACCAGGGAGGAGCGGTAGGTGGGTGCTCGGAGCACAGCGAACTCTATCTCCAGGGCGTTGATGGGCAGGTTGCCGATTATGAATGTGGCCTGGCGTGGGCAAGGAAAAGCCGCAGAGGGAGGAGAGGAACGACATGAGAAAGGCATGGGAAAGGCATGGGAAAGGCATGGGAAAGGCATGGGAAAGGCATGGGAAAGGCATGGGAAAGGCATGGGAAAGGCATGGGAAAGGCATGAGAAGCATTCATGAAGCGAGACAAGGTCATGAACAAGAGATGCCGTGGTGCTTAGTGCCCGCATAATATGGTTTTATGATAAAGCATAAAGATATGACTGTTGAAGAGATTCAAATCTTATATCAAAATACAGAACATAAGACTCGACTCAGCGTTGGAGGTGCTTGTTTGGGTTAATTGCATGATCATCTAAAATGAATGGGTACCTGAGTGAGCATGGAGATGCGCTTTGCGTGCGTTGTGGGGTAGCCGTTGATCAGGAAGGACTGGCGTGAAGGGGTAGGAAGGGGTGGGAAGGGGTGGGAAGGGGTGAGGAGATTGGAGAACGCAGGCAAACGGGGGTCGAGACTAGGCTTGCTCGTGTGCGGCAAATGAGAAGTTTGAGTTCGAAGTGTGGCAGGTGTGGAGATTGGGTGCAGCAAGGCACACAGCGGCGTAGCAGCAGCGCACTGTAGAGGTTGAGTGAGAGCGGGAAAGAGGGAAAGACAACGCAGTCACATGCAGCAGAGCAGAGGTGAGCGGTTGGGTTGGGGGTGTCGTTTGCTTACATGCAGCAGCAGCGCGTTGTCGAGGTTGAGCCAAAAGGCGAGGGATAAGGGAGTGGGGGAGGGGAGTGGGGAGATGGCAGAGCACAGCAGAGTGGGGTTGGGTTGGGGGTGTCGTTGGCTTAAGGGCAGGGCAGCATTGAGGTTGGGGTGGGGTGTTGAATGTCTCACGTGCAGCAGCAGCGCGTTGTAGAGGTTGAGCCAGAAGGCGAGCTTCTCGTCCTCGGAGAGGTATGAGGGGTCCAGATCCGATAGCTGCTCCGCTAGCATCCTGGATTGAGTGCGGCGAGGCCGGGGGACGCAGGGTTAGGGAGTGGGCATGGTGAGGGAGTGGGCATGGCATGACATGATCAGGATCAGGGGGGCCGATCCCATATCTGCGCAGCTAGCATCCAGAGGTGTGGTGTGGACGCAAGGGGAGCGGGATGGGGAGGAGAAGAACAGGGAATAGGCGGGGGGAGGCGGAACGGAAGGGGAGCAGGAAAGGGGAGGAGAAGGGCAGAAGGGTGGCAGGGGGAGCAGCAGATTGGAGCATAGGGAGCACGGGGAGTGGTGGGAGAGGAAGGGGAGGAGAGAGAAGTAAGCAAGACACGCAATCTGCAGCGAGGAAGGAGAGGGGAGCAGCAGGCAGCCACCTGTATTTATCAGCAACGGCAGAGAGAGAAGATATCCATGTTGCAGTACTCATCATCGCTGGTCACAGCATGCACGGGCAAGCATGGGCTTGCAAAACCAGCACCATAATTCCCAAAGGGCCACACGGGCTCCCACGCACCCACCCACCCACCGGTAGCGGCAGAGAGAGAAGATATCCACGTTGCTGTATTTATCATCGCTGGGCACAGACGTGACCTCCATGGCCGCCCCATACGCCCCAACAGGCGGGCAGGGGTGGAACTCCAGCACCCCATACGGGTCCACAAACCCCTCCACTGCCAGTGCCGCGCTCCCCACCGCTATGCCCCCCCCCATGGGGGCCGATGGCGCGGCAGGGAACGGGGAGGAAGACGGAGGGGTCGAATTGGGTGCTGATGGTGTGATCCCTGCTGCTGGCGTGGTAATGGGGTTGACTGTATGGAGGACAGGGGTGGAGGAGGTTCGAGTGATGGCGCGGGAAGGGCGGTCAGTGCTTGCATGTGAAGCGGAAGGGTCTGCTGAACTGAACAGAGCACCAGCCGCACCTGCAGCATCACCAGCACCAACGCCCCCACCACCGGCGCCACCAGCACCAGAAGTAGCACCACCATTTCCATTGCTGCTGCTTCTCAAGCTGCCACTGCTGCCAAACCCACTCCCACTCCCATAGCTATTGCTCCTCGTGGCAGGATACTGCAAGCCAGCGGCCACAGCCCCACTCCCAGCTATCCCCCCCAGCTCCCCCATCTGCTCACTCCCACTCCCCCCCACCTCCCCACCGCCTGCCCCCCACGCTCCTCCCCCTCCCGCCCCCCCCCCTGCGCCCTTGTCCGCGTTCTGGAAGACAGCAAGGGAGGCACGCAGCCAGGCGGTGCGGGGAGTGGTAGGGACTGCTGCTGACCCCGATGCCCTTCGCGACCGCGACCCTGCCTCGCCCTTGCGGATGCTGGAGTAGGAGGAGGAGGGCAGGGAGGAGACGGAGGCGAGGGAGGAAGAAGAGGGGAGGGAGGAGAAGGAGGAGGGCGAGGAGGTGACAGAAGGAGAGGTGGTGACCAATGAGCCTGCAGCAGCAGCAGCTGCAGCAGCTGCTGTTGACGATGCTGAAGGGGTTGTGGCGTTGCTACCAGGAGATAGAGGGCTGGGCTGCTGGTACTGGTACTGCTGCTGCTGGGAGTGATACTGTGGGCTCCCAGCCCCTCCCGCCTCCCCCCCCTGACTCGACCCTGAACCAGACGCACTGATTGGCTGCGGGGACAGGCAGATACCACCTGCACCAGATTCACCCCCCCCTGCTCCCCCCGGCCCCACGCTCCCCAGCGCAGCCGCCACCACCTCCCACGGATCCTCCGACTTTTTCCTCGTCCTCGTCCCGCCGCCCGCCTTCTTGCCGCCCGGGCTGCTACGGGACGAAACCGCCAGCACCTCAAGAGCCGTCGGATTGAGGATCTTCTCGATCTTTTCATCTGTAGCCACACGTTTCTGCTCGGAGGCCAGCAGGGCGGCGGCCCTGCGGCCTTCCCCGGCACCCCAGAGGGCGGGGTAGGCGTGGGCGAGGTAAATGGCGCCTATGGATCGCAGCATCTCCTCTGAGAGCTCGCAGGGCCGCAGGCGCAGGTCCTCTAGCTCGAGCGTGAGTGGCGTTGAGGACGAGGAGGTGGTGTTGCGGGAGGGAGTGCGGGTCTGTGGGGGCAGAGGGAGAGGGGGGAAGAGGGGGAGAGAACGAGGGAGATGAGAGGAAGAGGGAAAGGCAGAGGGAGAGGGAGAGGGAGAGGGAGAGGTAGAGGGAGAGGGAGAGGGAGAGGGAGAGGGAGGGTAAATGAAGGTGGAGAGGGAAACAAAGAGGCAGGGAGAGAAGCAGGGGGGTGGACAGGGAGAGGGACAGCGAGAGGGATGGTGGTTGCTGGCTTGAGAAGACAAACTTATTGGAGATGGAAGGAACTTTGTCTGTCCTTTGTTTTGTTTCTCAACCCCCAGAGCGAAGTGAACAAAAAGCAGCGAGAAGCACACCCACCTTGTTGCGAGCAAGCTTCTGCGATATGGATTTGGCCAACGCCTTCCTTAAGCCACTCGACTTCATGCCACCAGCAGCAGCACCCCCACCACCACCGCCACCAGCAGCAGCCGCGCCCCCGACAGCCAAAGACCCAGCACCAGAGGCAGCACCAGAGGCGCCATAGCTGGAGGCAGGGTCGTCAGCAATGGAGACTGAGCGAGGGCGTGGGGGCATGTCGGAGATACTGCGAGCGCTCCTGTGCCCTGCTGCCGCCCCCCTCGCCACCTCTGCTGACCGCGTCCGAGTCACTGATGGTGGCAGGCCTGCTTCCCCCCCTCCTGCTGCACCTCCCCCTCCCCCTCCTCCTCCTCCTCCTGTTGCTGCTCCTGTTGCGGCTGGTGCGGCTGCTGATGGTGGTGAAGCAGACGCAGATTGGTTACTGCCAGGGTCGGCAGCGCTGCTGTCCTTCCCTGCCTGAAAGCCCACAAACAAGGCTGGGGCGGATTCCACGCTTGCCAGCTCTCCTGCACTTGCCTCTGCTGCACCCTCTGCTGCACCCCCTGCTGCTGCCACTGCTGCTGCAGCTATGCCTGTGCTGGCGCCCTCACCCTCCACCTCCCACTGCTGATCTCCCAACTCGGCAGCAGGAGGAGGAGCAGAAGCGCTTATAGAGTCGACCCAATCATCAGAGACAGCGGGAACAGAATTCCAGCGACTGAGAGAGTCCACTGATGCCACAGACAGCTTGCTGGCATGCATGCCCCCCGCCCCTCCATCCCCTGTCTCACCCTCCTCCTCGAATTCCTCAGCAAAAGTGGCATCTGAACCGAATCCATGCGCCTTCTCTCTCCTGCCTCTAAACCCGCCGCTCCCAGCACCAGCAGCACTGCCAGCCCCACCAGTGGTGCCGCCCCCAGCCCGACCAGCAGCACCAGCACCAGCAGCAGCGCCAGCCTTATCGCTCTTGCGCGATTTCGACCGTAGGATCTTGTCCTTGGATCGGCGCCACCTGTCCCTGCGCTTATCCGCCATCTCAGCCTCACTCGATGACACCACCGACTCTAAAATGTCCCCGAGAGACCTCTCCCTTGCCCCGCCCCACTCCCTCCCTCCACTCCCACTCTCTCCTCCTCCTCCTCCTCCTCCCCCTCCTCCTGCAGCCATCCCCCCTCTACCCGCCCGTGTGCGCCTGCGCACATCGGACCCGGATCCTCCCTGGCTCTCATAATCCATGAATGCTTCTAAGTCCTCTTCCCCCACAAGCTCTCCCAGTGAACCTGCCGATCCCCACGAACCACCCCTGCTGCCCCCGCCTCCTCCCCCTTCCCCCCTGCCCCCACTGCCGCTGCGAGATCTCTCCCTAGACCTGACTGTCTTAAGCAGCCCAGCTACCGGACCAGCAGCCCCGGCCGAGCCTCGCTCGAGGAAGTCAGATCCGGCAGAGCGGGTTCGGGCAATAGCACTGGGGATTGGCTCCATTGATGGGTAGGACCCTGCTGCCCCCCCTGCTCCTGCTCCTGCTGCTATTGCTGGCACTGACGCAGCTGCAGCTGCAGCAGGGGGCCGATCACCCCCCAGACCAGCAACGCTGCTACTGGTTGGGGCAGAACTGGGAATGAATGAGGCAGCAGCAGTGTTAAGCGCGGAACTGGGGGAGGAGGCGAACTTGCTGATAGGCGGGCGGGGGCGCGGGGCGGGACGGGGGCGGTCGGGGCTGCGGCTTGCACAGAGCATGCTCGGGGTGAGACCAGGGAGCTGAGCGGTTGGATGGGGTCGGGATGGGCGGAGAAGGGAATAATAGGGGTGGAGGAAGAACGAAGGGACGTGGAGGGATGGAAGGAACAGTGGCAGTGATTTCAACGGTGGAACAAAAGCAAGGGTTTGTGGATGGGGATGCTAGAGAGGCATGACGGCAGTTGCCTTTGCATTGAAGAAACTAAGAAACTAGCATCAGGGAACAGAAGAGGGAAAGGGCACTAGAAGGAAGGCCCGATCAATCTGGGCCATTGGATCGAATCAAGGACTCACCTGGGCCATGGGATCCATAGTTGAGTCTTCTGATCGAGCAGGAGACGCAGTCAAGGACGAGTCCCCCAGATGACTCTCGTGAGGCTGCAGTATCCCATCCGGGTCCAGCAATCTAGACATCACAGGCAGCACCGTTTGCCCCCTCGCTGCCCTCCTCCCCCTCCCCCCCTTCCTCCGCCTCGTCCGAACCACTCTTCCGCACCTCCCGTTCGTGCATGCTTCCCGAGCCTCCCGCCAGGCCCGGGGACGCCCCAGACCTGAGTGACTTGATTGGCGCCGTGGCTGACCGCCGAACCAGCGCCTGCTGCTTCTGCTGCTGCTGCTGCGGATCCTGCAGACGCATTTCCGAGCCTCCGAGCCCCATGAGACGAGCGTACTCCTCGTCCTCCTCACTCCCCACCGACCCATCGTCATCCTCATCACCATCAAAAGCATTGTCATGAGAACTGTCACGCGCATGAGCATACCCCACGCCTGCCGTTCCACCTGCTCCTGCCTGCGAAAGCTTGCTAGCCGCAACCCCATGGTGGGTGAACGAGCGAGGAACGATGGGCGGCGAGTGTGACGCCATGGGCGGCGAGCCGCTCCCGGCGTGCTCAAGGGCGGCATGCCCCGGACTGTAGCGCCCAGGGCTGCCGCCCAGACGGCTGGGTTCAAACCCATCCTCTGAGTGCCTGCTGCGGTGGCGACGCAGACTGCGAGTTCGAACCCGTTCAGACACCCCCAGAGGCAAACCCGCTCTTGCACCCCCCACACCAGCAACAGGACTACCTCCCCCAGAAGAACCCTCCCCCTCGCCCTCAAACCCTGACCCCAGGTCCGTGTGTCCGTCCCTGCTGCCCCCTGGAAAGCCAGGGGAGTTGGTACTGTGAGAGCGAGCCACTCTCCTGCTGGCGCTGCTGCTGCTCCGCCTACCACTGCCCATCCCTCTAGACCCCACTGTAATACTGGCTTCTCCGTTGTGCCTCCCGCCATGCGCACTCCCATGTCGGCCCCTCTCCCTCTCCCCCTCCCCTTCATACTCATCCTCATCCTCCCCATCCCCATACCCTGGTAAGCCTGTGGGTAATCCTTCCCATAACCCCCCTCCACCCCCCTCACCCTCCCCAAATTCCCCTCCCTCCTCTCCACTCCCCCCAAAACCCCCCTCTCCTGCGCCTATCCCCCACTCCCCGCCCTGCACCACCTGCTCCCGCCGGCTCCTCCTCCCGCTCCCCCACAACCCCCCTTCCCCACCAGCAGCAGCGCCACCGAAGCCCATACCAGCAGCGCCAGTGCCAGCCAGGGGGGTGAAGCCGGAGCCCTGGTTGATGTAGCAGGCGGTGAGGGTTTCCAGCAGGTCCACAGAGGACGCCTCGAGAAGGAAGCTGTTGGGGCCGCTGGCCTCCAGGTCGGCCAGGGCGAGGCGCACAAAGCTCTCGACGTGCTCGTTCTCCTCCCTCTCCATCTGCAGCAGGTCCTTTAGCACCTCCGTCTGTGCCATCAGCTGCAGCCTGCCGTGGTGCCGCGAGGGCAAGAAGGGTGGGAGAAGAGGGGTGGGGGAAAAGGGAGAAGAGGGGACACCCGTCTAAACCACCTCACGAGATGCATTTGCCGCATCATCACCCACAGGTGTCTTGACGGCGCCCAACCAGTCCACTTTCGAATCTACAGATTGTTCAAGTCAAGTCAACTTAGTTCAGAGAGTTGGTGCTCACAGACAAGTGTGTTGGTTGGCGGCTCCCAGGTGGAATTGCCACTGCCTGTGCATGGCCTTGTCTTGTCCGCGTCCAATACACACAATCTCGAGCCTACGATCTCTTCAAGTCAAAGGCAAGGCAACTCAGAAAGCAACTCTCTGCTGGAACTGCATGCGGAGGCTTTTGCAGCCTAAGTTCACCTGCTGCACTGCAGTACCCTCAGCAGCAGAGCAGCACCCACTGCACGGCACGGCACAGGTGCGTTGCCTTGGCGACTGACTCACAGGTGGAACTGCGTGCTATGCATGGCCTTGACGGCGTCGAACGAGTCCACCTGCCAGTGCACGTGCTCCAGAGCCCGCTCCACGTTGCACCGCTCCACACTCAGATCCAGCAGCACCCGCCGCATCGACCGCAGCTCGCCGCCCATATGCGTCACCTCGCGGTGCAACTGCCTCTCCTCCTTGTCCTCTAGCTCCTGGGAGAGTGCGAGGAGGGAGGAAGGTGGGGAACGAATGTGTTCTATATGCGTCACCTCGCGGTGCAGGTGCCGCTTCCGCTCCTCCTTGACTTGTACCTCCTGCTGGTGTGGTGGGGGGTATCGTATGTGTGGGGAGAAGGGTTGCAGGTACGCTGCATCGACCGCAGCTCACCACCCATATGCGTCACCTCACGGTGCACCTGTCTCTCCTCCTTGTCCTCTAGCTCCTGGAGGTGTGGTGGGTGGGGGAAGGGGGAAGGGGAGGAGAGAAGGGTTATAGGTGTGAGAAGGTTACACGAGTCACTTCGTGGTGCAGCTGCCGCTCTTCCTTGTCCTCTAGCTCCTGGGAGAGTGCGAGGAGGGAGGAAGGTAATACCGTAATGGTAGGGGGAAGAATGTGCGTTCCACACACATGTCACCTCCCCGTGCTGCTGCCGCTCCTCCTTGTCCTCTCCTGGGGCTGGGGGTGTACAATACGAGGGCGTGTGTGAGTGAAAGAGGTTACATGCAACACTCCGCATACAGATGCGCCAGATACTCGGACGTTTCCTCAACAGAGAGCTCAAGCAATTCCTATCCCGTAGCAGTGAGCTTAAGCGAGTCAATTCTAGCCGCAATGAGCAATCACCTGCACCGCACCGCACCCAGCCCAGCTACCCACCTGCACTGGCAGCTGCGGCATGTCGCCCCCAGCAATGGCAATCACGTCTGCCAGCTTCTCCTGCCGAGCCACCTCCCGAGCCATGTCCTCCTCTAGCTGGAGCAGCTGGAGGAGAGCAAGCAGGGGAGGTGAAGAAAGGCGAACCAAGCAACGAAGCACACGAGTTTTTAGCAATTTCAGACTTCTCCTGCCGAGCCAGCTGTTGAGCCATGTTCTCCTGTAGCTGGAGCAGCTGGGGGAGAAGAGGGGGGTGGGGGGGGGGGGGGGGGAGGTGAAGGAACACGAAACAAGGGGGGACGTAGATAGCTTAATAGTCAACTCACAGTCTCCTGTCAGAAAAAAACTGAAATCTCAACCATTCCCTGGTTACTCCACGATTTTCCACATTCAGCCACCATTTTCCGAACCATCAATGCAGCCACCATCCCACGCGATCAATCACCCCAACCCCAACCTAACCATCCCTTCAAAAAATACCCCACCATCCCATTTGATCAAGTCCTCCCACTCCCACATGATCCAACGGCGCAACCCTCCCTCACCTCGGAATCCAGCAGGTGGGTCATCGTGGACACTCTGCTGTGCTTCCTCCCATGCCCCGATCCCCCGCCTTCCACTCCCTCGCCACTACCTAATCCGCCACCAGAACCACCCGTCTCTCCTCCCACTCGATCTGCAACAACTCCGGAAGCACTAACGACGGAAGCAGAAGCAGAAGCACCAGCATTGGACGACGCAGCAGCTGCAGCAGCAGCGAGCGCGCCAGATTGAAGAGAGGCTCCGCCCGCACTCTTCCGTGGCGCAGACTTTTGCGGCGCGTCAAGAAACGAGTCAGATCGAAGCGAGTGGCCGCTTGCATTCCTCCGTGGCCCCGACGCCCTGCTCTCGTGTCTCCCTCCTGCTGCTGCTCGACCTGTCTCTGGGTTCCCATTCGGCCCAGGATGGTGAGAACCCGAGGTTACCACTCTCTGCTGCTCCATACACGATATACGTCGAATGCCAGATTACGTCCGAATGCCAGATTACGTCCGAATGCCAGATTACGCCCGAATGCCAGATTACGTCCGAATGCCAGATTACGCCCGAATGCCAGATTCCGTCCGAATGCCGGATTACGCCCGAATGCCAGAGTACGCCCGAATGCCAGATTACGTCCGAATGCCAAATTCCGTCCGAATGCCGGATTACGCCCGAATGCCAGAGTACGCCCAAATGCCAGATTACGTCCGAATGCCAGATTCCGTCCGAATGCCAGATTACGTCCAAATGCCAGATTACGCGAAGTCTAAGTCTCCAAAACAGCGAGTTGAGTAGCCTAACGGATCAGACACACCAACTGGTTTGAGCAGATCGCGAAACTAGTTGCAGCAGGAAACTGAAACGAAGACTTACGGACGGGGAAACTTGGCTAACCTCTATGTATGATCCACAAACGAGCGGCTGCAAGATAGCTAATATCTACAACCGCCCACTTTTGAAGAAATCACTTTTGAGATTTCTCAAAAATGTTAATGCGTTTACCCACTCACGATACCCTGTATCCTACGAGCTTCTACTACTTATGGCATGCTAATACCTACAATCTGGTACTACTCCGCATTAAGATATTATCTGGTATAAGATATCCATTACTAAAGCCACGCTCCTAATCTACATTGCGCTTTTAAAGATCGAATAACATACCCTCGTCCGACTCCTTGCGGTTGACCGCGTCCGGCTGCCGGAACGGCAGCTGAACCGGCAGCTGAACCGGCAGATGAGCCGTCAGCTGAGCTCTGACAGCTAACTACGGGGCTGGGCCCCTTCCCTCCTTGCGGAACCCCCTGCTGGCGCGGGCCGCTCGTCCCGCCTTCGCTTTTAATCCAGCAATGAAAACGAATGGTGAATAACGAAAAGAACTCGGATCAAGGGACCAGAAAAATAATACGGAAAATACGATCAGTGAACAGGCTGGGGTAGTTGAAGGAGCCAGCAATTTTCGAGGTTCGCAGGAAATGAATTCACAAGCAGATTGGGGTTCGCAGGATGAAAGGACAAGCAGGTTGGTTGGGTTGGGAGAAGGGGAAATGGGGTGGGAAAGATGGGGGGGGGTAATCTGGAAGGGGACACCTTGGTTGGTGGGAGTCGGGATGAGTCTGGCGCACGAGTTCCATCACTTGGCTACGGGCGGTCACCTCGGGCCGAACAATATCCCCCTTTTTAGGGTATGAGCACTATCCCCTTAGTGTCTAAACGAAATTCGAACAGATATGTTTTGGGTGGCAACATTGCTCATTGTCTCACACCCGATTCTACCATTTAACAAGCAACAATAGCAACCTCTCCACCATGGCTCTTCACAGAAACTTTAGCAGCCAGAATTTCAGGCTCAACATTATCGGTTTCAACATCTGGGCATATTATCGGTGTTACGATCCAAATGGAGACCTTGCCTGAATCAGCCTCAGGGTTAGTTGCAGAGAGTTGTTGTAGCGGAAGTAATTGACTCCTAGTCTCAGAGTTAGCGGAATGGTCATGACTGGAAATATGGGAGATAAAAATGCTAAAACTAGAAATTGTTGTACTCCCATAGCCCTATTCACTATAGCCTATCAATATAATGCACAATACTTGACACACCCCCATAGGCTAAGTGAGGGGCATCAAAACAAGCAAAGGAAACAAAGGGTCCCAAGACTAGTCAAGAGAAACAACAAGGCAACGCTCAGAGTGGATCTCAAGATCACCACACATTGCAAGCACAAGCGAACGGCTACAAGGCCAGTTCAAGTGTTCACAAATATGTATAGATGCAAGGACAAGTAGAGCAAGCAACAAGAAACAATGCTACAGCAACCTAGCACCACTGTCAACAAGGCCTAACTGCATACAGAACCAGTGGTGGTCACTAGGCGCTAGGGCTTTGGTGAAGATGTCTGCAGTGTTGGCCTCTGAGGCCACGAAGTCCAAGCGTGCCTGGCCGCGTCGCTGCAACTCTCGCAAGAGAAAGTACCTCACGTCAATGTGCTTTACTCTGCTGTCCATTCGAGGCTCTCGACATAGGAGGATCATGACCTTAGTGCAGCGAACAAGCTGGGAAAACAGCGAGGCCACTCACCAAGGCCGGCGAGCAAGAAGGTCAACCAGCGAAGCTCTTGCGCAGCCATGGCACCAGCGTAGATCTCTACATCTGCACTAGACGAAGCCACAGACGACGACCGCGTAGACCGCCACGAGACAGCTCTAGCGCCAAAGCTGAAGCAGTACCCCTGAGTGGACCTCTGTGTCTCCACAACGTCGGCGTAGGAAGAGTCGCAGTGACAGGTCAGAACAATTGGCTGTCTCCCTCCAAGCACAAGCCCCATGCCCGATGTAGTCGCCAGGTACTTTGCCACCCTCACAGCAACTATTAAGTGAACAGGACGGTGTTTCCCTATCGCAACAAAGCGAGAGAGGACGCTGCGAGGAAAGGCGAGGGCCGAACGAGTACACGTCATCAGGTACATCAGGCAGCCCACAAGCTATGCTGCTAGGAACGGCCGGAGCGAGGAGCGAGCGAAGTTAGGAGCGTATGGAGCGCGGAGCGTGTGGAGCTAGGAGCACTGATGAACGAACGAGGGGAGCGAGGAGCGAGCAAAGCTAGGAGCGAGTGGAGCTAGAAGCGAGCGGAGCTAGGAGCGCCAGCGTGAAAATGGATGGTCGAACCTAGGAGTAGTAGAGCAAGTAGAAGGCTAGGCTAGGAGAGAGGAGAAAGCGGAGCAAAGACCAACCCTAAATTCTAACCGGAGCGTGAGAGAAGGATGAAATGCTAGAAGCACCTTAGAAAGAGGAGGAGCGGCCTCTAGCCGCGATAGAGCAGAGCACTAAGAGCAGGAATGGTAGAAAACATGGAAACCTATAGTGGGAAACCAGGTAAGGCATTATGGAGGGCCTAGGCGCGCTAGGGAGGGGCGCTCGCCTCTGGCAACTGCAGTGGCGTGAGCACGGTCAGGCAAGGGGCGCTCGCGCTGGTCTAGGGCGGGGAACACACTGCTGGGCTGGCGGGCGCCCTTGTCCGACTGGCGAGCACGCTGGTCTAGCTGGAATGCGCGATGGTCAGGCAAGGGTGCGCGCGCGGACTAGGCGAAAGGCGTGCGCTGGCCATGGGAGGGGCGCGTGTGGATTCGGCTGGGGCGCGCGCTTCTCTAATAGGGGCGCGCGCTGTTTTGGTGGGTGCGCGCGCTTCTCTTGTAGGGGCGAGCACTTCTCTGACAAGTGCGCGCGTTCTCTGGCAGGGGCGCGCGCTACTCTGGCAGGGGCGCGCAAAGCCCTGGTTGGGGCGGTTGGGAGTGGAGGATGTGCTACGGAGGTAGGGGAGGGCGTGCTACGGAGTTAACAAGCTAGAACGGAGGTAGGAAGCCTAGAACTAACCTTGCGTGGTACCATCTCAGAGTTAGCAGAATGGTCATGACTGGAAAGATGGGAGATAGAAATGCTAAACCTAGAAAGTGTTGTACTCCTTATAGCCCTATTCACTATAGCCTATCATCAAAATGTATAAGATATAACACCTAGTCAGAGTGCCTGTAAAATGACAGAAGTGACTACAACAAAGATACATGCGTTTCCCGCCTTTTCCCATTCAAATATCTTCTGCCAGCATTGGTCTTCATCTGACAACTGTCTTCGTCGATTCGACTTGACCGACTCCTCGACTTTGTCCTTGGTTCGTTAGTGCTGACACAAATTTTCTTCACTCAACTCCTTGTCGTAACAGCCCCCTTCATCCCTGGGCGTAGCAAGCAGGTCCTAACTTGATTGACCACTCCGGTGAGGTTGGCGCTGTGCTGATACTGCTGACGTAGCGGTCGCTTGGTGAGGAAGTCTGCTGCCATGTCAGTGGAGGGGCAATGCCGTATTCCCCCGCACATAAGACCCGACGAAAAGAAAGTCCCATAAGACTCTATCGCGGAAGAGATTCCTTTATAGCGAGTTAAAAGTGAGAGGACCCCCCCTTTGAAGGTAAAGTATATAAGACCCCTTTTTGCTGTATAACGCACTGTTTTAACACGTTTTTTCTTGTTCGCGCGTCACATGATAGAGGGAATGTTTCAAATTCTGACAGATCCAGCGCGTCAGACTTGAAATCTGACACATTTGACACATCGAGCACGTCATATCGCAAAAAACTATACTTTCTGTCAAATGTTATATCTGCTACAGTTTGTTTAGGCTGTAGTGGGGTAGTTACTATGGGGTACAGTAAGTTTAGGGTTTCCTACTTGTGCCCAACTCTTTCCTAGTTCAACCACTCTTGTTCATTCTGACATGGTATCACGAGCCTAGGTTGCCACCTAGGACCGCTTACTACTACGGGCCCACTATTCCGCTAGAAACGCCCTCGTGCGCCCTACCTTGCGTGCGCCCTCGTGCGCCTTTCTCTGCTCGTGCGGCCTCGTGCGCCTTCTTCTGCTAGTGCGCCCTCGCGCGCCCCGCCCTTCGTTCTGCCTGCGCGCCGTCCTGCAGCCCTCGCGCTGCCTCCTGCTGCCCTAGGCCAGTGCGCCGCCCCTGCAAGCTAGTAAGGCCCTCGAGCCGCCCCTGCAGGTCCGTCAGGCCCCCGAGCCGCCTCTGCAGGCCCGTCAGGCCCCCGAGCCGCCTCTGCAGGCCCGTCAGGCCCGAGAGCCGCCCCTGCAGGCCCGTCAGGTCGGCGCGCTGCCCCTGCAGGACCACGCCGCCCGCGCGCAGCTTCTGCCCGACCGCGCGCCGCCCCTGCAGGCCCTCGCCACCCGCACGCAGCCTCTGCAGGCCCGTCAGGCCAGCGCGCGACCCCGTCAGGTCGCTGTCGCGGCCCCGTCAGGCCGCAGTCGCGGCCCCGCCTTGTCGCTGACGCGGCCCCACCCTGCCGCGGTCGCGGCCCCGCCCTGCCGCCGACGCGGACGCGGCCCCGCCCTGCCGTGACGCGGCCCCGCCAGC